GGCTGAGCTTATGCCTGCTGCCTGCAGGGCGAGGAGTCGAGCAGGGAGATCCTAGAGAGACAGGGACCAGCATTAGGTTTATTTTAGCTGAAAACTTCAGCGCTGGGTGAACACAGCCTGGCTGCTACAAGTTGGCTCTGGCTCCTACTAAGGTGGGTTTTTTTTTTTACTTTCACCTCAGTCACCAAATTCTTCAGGAGAACGAACACAGAAACCTTCCAAGAGGTCAATTCCCAACAGGTATTCGCAGGGATTCTGACATTACATGAGCGTATAATTTCAAAGCCACCAAAAAAATCACCGACAAAAAGGATGCAGTAATAAAACCATAATTAAGATCAAGCTGAGGCTAACCACAGAGCATGACAGACCGTATATAATTTTCTCTCCAAACTCCAGGTATACTGCCACAGGTTGTAACCTCAGGCCAACCTAATAAAAGTCTTTAAGACCAATTTCTTTCTCCTGTGGAATTTCACATCGAGGCAGTTTCAGGATGGGTGAAATCCATATAGTAAATAAACACATATAAAAAAGGAATTGGAGAAAAATGAAGTGATTGGTAGAAAACCGACACCGAGTATCTGTAGTGTTTTCCTATCGTCTCCGAGGGCTTTTAGCACCACCAGCAAATTTTCCACGCCTCCAGGAGAATTACAGTGCAATAAAATTTTAAGAGTATCACAGCTTTGAGTGGCTACACGGTAAGTTCTTCACCAAATAGAAAAGCACAGGCACTTCAAAATGACACAGCCTGCACCACCGCTCAGCTGCAGACCCAAAACCTTCTGCATACAAAATCAGCAGCTCTTCCTGGAGCGAGCACTGCTCTCCTTGTTATCCCGGTGGTACAGAGGGATTAACATCTTGCCCCGCATCACACCGGTAACTGGGGAGAGCAGCGTCTGCTCCGGTACTGCTGAGGCAACAGATGTGGATTCTGGGTCTTTTCCGTAGCCAGGACAGCACATTTCTGGAGCAGCGAGAGGCAGATCAAATTCCCTCTGATCTGGGATATTTGGAGCCTTTTTTTTTTTTTTTTTTTAGCACATTAAGGCACAGGTAATTTTGTGGACCAATCTCTCAGTATTTACAACCAAACACCATCCAGCACAGAGGGAAATTCTCTTTCAGCATGTTAGCGATCCCACCGAACGCGTTACAGGATGGATGTGCTGGGGCTGAGGGGGGACATCAGCTCAGCCGAAAGAACCCACTTTACAGAGAAGGGCATTTGTTTTGCCACAAGTTGATTTTCAAAGCCGGGAAGCATTGCATTCCAGGAGAGGGAAACTCAGGGCAAGATCTCCCCACAGTGTTTGTTATTAGAACAAGATTTTTTTTTTTTTTTTTTTTAATTAAAAATATATCCTAGTTCCAATCCCCCTGAGACAGCTGCTCCACGCAGCCTCATCAACATGGGAGGGAAACACTTATCTAATGTACCCAGAGCACCCTCTGCCGTCTGCGCTTCCCCACATCAATCCCAGTTGTCAGGGGAAGCTCAGGGAGAAAGATCAACTATGCAAAACTCACCCTCTCTGGCAATAACATCGGCATCAATCACGGCACAGCCCAGTTCCCGGAGTACGGCCACCACCGTGCACATCAAAACATTTATCCCAAACAGGCAACTTCATTCAAAGCTCATTTGCATAAGTTCTCAGGGCGTCACTGAGATATTAGCACGATTTTGGCACCCCTCTGAGCTGAGTAGCCCTGTTTTACAGGTTGAAGAACAGCACCAGGTTAAACAAGGCTTCCCTGGACCCTGCTAACTCTGGATGTGCAACTCAAGCCAGCCAGGATCAAAACATTTATCCCAAACAGGCAACTTCATTCAAAGCTCATTTGCATAAGTTCTCAGGGCGTCACTGAGATATTAGCACGATTTTGGCACCCCTCTGAGCTGAGTAGCCCTGTTTTACAGGTTGAAGAACAGCACCAGGTTAAACAAGGCTTCCCTGGACCCTGCTAACTCTGGATGTGCAACTCAAGCCAGCCAGGTTACCTGCAGCTCCATGCAACTCGCTCCCCTTAAGCATCTGCACCCATCAAGCCACAGCCTCACCTCCAGCACCCTAAAGCAGAGGACATTTCTGGCAGGGTTGTCACAGGTGACCCAGGATCAGTGACAAAGGGGAAGAATTCAGACATCTCAGCCCGGACAGAGAAATGTGAGGACTGAGATGGAGAGCCCTGCTTGATCTCTGCAGCGGGGCGTAAGAGGAGACGAGCTGCCTCTGACATAATCGGGACGCAAAGCACACAAGCCAGTAAGTAAATCACATTCCCACGTTACATGGAAGCCAGCGCAGTCATCGGCAACCCAACGAACACAAGAAATCATGGCTCTGAGCAGCAAATTTCTGTCTATTAGCCTGCGAACACGGCACTAAAGGCAGTGTCCGTGTTTGCCAACGGCCCTGAGGCTGCGAGGGCACCGGTAACCCCCCAGCCGAGCTGGAGCAGACAACTTCTGTCATGGTTTCTACACTGAGATCTCTCCCCATTCAATCCAAAACCCACAGCCCTCTAAACCCCGCTTGCACCCGTTCACCAAAAGGCCCAGCGGTGCAGAGGCAACTCTGGACAGGAGTGGGGACTCCTGTGAGCAAAGTGGTATCTGCATCCCCGAAAAGGCAACAGCCACAGCACGCTGGGAAAGCACGAGCCCCGCAGGACAGGGGGTAGTGCGAGGAACAGACCCCAGCGACCCCTCTCCAGCCCCGACACTGGCCCCGGCCAAGGGCCTTTGTGCAGCCAAGTCCCGCAATTCCCCGAGGACAGAGCTTCCAACTTTGCTGTCACCTTGTCTAGCGTAATGCCACCCGCACGGACGAGAAGCCTGAACCACCCAGCTCGTGGCTGTTGCTGCTTGCATTGGAGAAGAAACTGGTTCTGTCATTTTTCAGCCAGGAGCCACAGGCTGCTGGTAGACACCCCTCAGCTTCCGCTTGCCCAGAGGGAGGCCCAGCTCCCGCCGCCTCTCCTCGGAGCCACGTACCCCAAAACCCAACGATCTCAATAGCCATCACTCTACCTAACTTGGTTCTGGCACCACACCTCCCTCCAGACACCACAGCCACCAGCCCCAAAAATCCCTGCACATACAGGAACCGGGTACCCACTGCTGGCACTGTCCCCCACGAACAGGGATCACGCTGATTTACACCCAAGGGCAGCAGTCAGGAACATGGGCCTGCAGAGCGGCTGAAGATGGAGGAAAACACAGCACTGTGTCCCTTTTTGCTAGGAAAAAAACTCCCAAACACTTTTATCATAACTCAGTCCTACAAACAGGACCTACACCCACGGTCTGGGAGTGAGAAAGGGGGTGGATAAGTCCTGAGGCAGCTGGAGGCAATTCAGCACCAGGAGGAACCAGGAGTTAGAGCAAAAGCCGGCAGCACCTGCCAGCAGCGTCCTTCGCTTC